GCATAGTTACAGTAGCAAAAGTTGATTGAACAAGATTATGGTACAAGCAAGGAGAACCAAATAGGAAAGACAACGAACCCTGTAGAAACGTTCCTCGACAAGCACCTGAATCTGTCGAGTCAGCAACGGCAGGTGAAACGACAAACACATGCAGATTTCACCTGAGTTGGTAGTTTCTCAGGTTTACAACGTTCATAGTTGTGCACGTTTTTACTGTTAGTAAAAACGTGTTTCAGGTTCAGTTTCCTTACTGATTCGAAATCTCCTGGGGAGTACAATTTCCGAAATGCTCTGATTGGTCGAAATTTGTTGTTTCGTGATTGGGCGAAATTCGCGCACATTGCGAATTTCAGAACTAAGAAATTCTGGTCGACCAGAATCGCTCTGCTCGACGAAACACTCGTCGAACTAAATTCTGTCGACCACCAATCCTTCGAACACCAATTCTGCCAATTCCGTCCATCAGAAAGGCTCGTCTTTGACACCGTTTTACTCTCGACGATGAGCTCTTCGTAGACGAGGACTTTGATCGAGCAGAGGAAACACTTCTACCTCGACCAAATAATCTCGTCGACAAACGACTCGTCGCACACAGATAAAAGTCCCCGAAGTCGCCGATGACCACGAAACGAACACCGTTCTGTTCCGAAATTCCTGGTCGACTTCGCCCAAGCGAGGGCGGGACCTTTTTCTCTTCGACAACAATATCATCCTTAGTGTAGTCCCTTTTCCCACAGGAGCAAAGAGCTCGTTGAAATCCTTCCCCTTTGTCTTCTGGAATCCTTTAGCCACAAGCCTTGACTTGTAGCGGGTCAGCTCCCCATCAGGTCCGTACTTGTGCCTGAAAATCAGCTTGGAAGAAATGGCCTTCTTCCCAGGTGGCAGCTCACACAACTCCCACGTCTCATTCTCAAGCAGTAAGTCGTACTCCTCCTTCACACTCTGCTTCCACTTCTCAGCATCGGGCCCACTCAAGGCCTCGGTAAGTGTCTTGGGCTCAGGGACGGCTGCCCAGTAGCAGTGCGCTATCTCCTCCTCATCACACTGCTCAGCCACACTCCCAGCCCTTACCACCTTTGGCTTCCCAAAGCTCGGATAGGTCAGCCGGTTAGGAGGGCGCACATCCCTCCTAGGACGGTCAGCCGAACGTGCGGCACCTTGTGGAGCACCTTGTTGTTGCTGCTGCTGCTGCTGCTGCTCCTCCACCTCAGGTTCTCCCCCATCCTCAGTCACCCCAGAGATCTCCTCCTCTGAGACAATGACCTGCACTTGCCTCGAATGCCGCTGCACCTCATCAGGTTCAATAATCAGCGGTGTAGTAGGAAGCTTCTGCTGCTGCTGCTTCCACTCCTTGTAGTACAAGGACTCGAGGAACTTCACATCCCTCGACACAGTCAGCTGCTGGCTGGTCAAGTCCCATATCAACCAGCCCTTGTGATCCTTGGCAAGCCCCAAGTGCACACCCCATCTCCCAGAAGCTTCCAGCTTTCCCCTCTTCTCCTTCGGCACATGAAACACCACCATGCAGCCGTAGGCTCTCAGCATGTTGACTGCTGGTGCATCCCCATACCACTTGGTGTAGGGGATCCACTGCTTGTCCCCCACAGTCGCCAGCACCCTGTTCTTCACAAGAGCGACCTGCCTCAGTGCAGTCACCCAAAACGGATCCGGCAGCCCTGCACGCCCAAGGAGAGTGCGAGCACCTTCCTGCAGGGTCCGGTTGAACCGCTCAGCCACGCCGTTCTGCTGAGGGTTGTAGGGCACTGTGAGCTGATGCTGAATGCCCTTCTTCTTCAGCACCGCCTCAAAATCAGCACCAATGAACTCTCCTCCATTGTCGGTGCGGATCACCTTCACCTTGTGTCCGCTCTCCCTTTGAGCTCTCGGCATCCACTCCTTGAGAACAGCCGCTGCCACGTCCCCCTTAGTCTTCGGAGGGTAGACCCACACCGCACGCGTGTGGTCGTCCACGATGGTCAAGAAGTAGCGGCTGCCCGAGAGAGAAAGGGCCCTCGTGGGGCCCACCACATCCATGTGCACAAGCGCGAGTGGTGCCTTGGCTGGTCCTGTGCTGCTGTTGAAAGGAAATTTTGTGAACTTGGTCTCAAGGCATGTAGGGCAGCTCCCAATCTCCTTTGCTGCCCCCTTTACCTCCAATCCCTTCAAGCTCCTATCCTTCACCATCTTTTGCAGCATCGGAATGTTGATGTGGCACAACCTCTCGTGCCACGTCTCCCAATCGGCCTCACCACTCCCAGATGAAGCCTTTGCCCATGCAGCTGTCGCATCCACACCAGCAAGCACCTCACCATGTGATTGCTGTGGACGCTGCACCTTCTTGACTGCATCCAGGGCCCCATCAGTTGGTGCAGTCTCCTCTCCTCCCGCAGTTGCTTTAGCCGCTGCCGCTGCCTTTGCCGTTCCAATTCCAAGGGATGATGGGCAGCTGCCACAAGTCCTTGATGCAGCTGCTCTTCTCGTCCAAGTCCCACAGCAGCAACTTCCCAAGCTTCGCGCGGCCAAACGTAACCTTTGCCTTGCTTTTCTGCAGCCGGCGCACAGAGAGAAGGTTAGCGGATAAACCTTCAACTAGCAGGACATTCCCAAGTCCCACAAGTCCCCCAGCCCAGGGTCAGCTTTACCTTGTGCACCATCACCTTGTGCACCTGAACCTTGCACAGCACCACCTCGTGTGCGGTCACCACTTGGCCATCCCTCAGGCCGGCTGAAACACTTGAACCACGGGTGTCCAGCCTTCTTGCAGTACCAGCACGCACCCTCCATTCGAGTGCTCCCCCTGCCACCAGAGCTCCCATGCCCCTCGTTGTAGTCACCTCGGCCTCTCCCTCTGCCAAAGCCTCTCCCGCGGCCTCGGCCTCTCCCACCCCCTCTTCCTCTGCTGCCTCCTGCAGCTCCATACCCCTCAGCAGTTTTGTTGGCAGCACCACCTCCCACGTGGCGCCTGCGGAAGTCCTCCTGCAGGATCTGCTGCCGTAGCCACTCAGGCGATTAGTTGTCCTGCTGAACGTTGAGGGTTGTCCCATGAGGTTGTCCCATGAGTTGTCGAGCACCGAGATGATCTTGATGCACTGCTGCATCTCCGAAACCTTGCTGCCCGCCGCTGCCATCCTTGCATAGGTGTCCTTGATCTTGTCAAGGACCGGCTTCACATCATCTCCCGGTCGCATGGAGAGGGCCGCCAGCTCCTTCTCCAACACAATCACCATCGGCAGCGTGTTGGGCTGAACCACATCGCGCAGTAGTTTCCACGCCTTCGGTCCCGAGTCATCGAGCTCCACCAAATCCTTGATGTGCTCAAACATGTCGTTGTTGACGGACTGTAGAATCAGGTCGTACAGCACCGCGCTCCGCTCAATCCATCGATCCCGAGCATCTCCTTCCTCGGGCATCTTCTCTTCTCCCATCGCAAGTTTCAGCAGCTTGTAGCGCTTGAAAGCGCTCCTCATCCGCCCACTCCATTCCTCGTAGTTGGAGCCATCCAACGCCTCAATCTTGGATGGTGGCAGCTCACTCTTCTTGTCAGCTGCATCTCCACTCCCTTGACTCATCTCCTCTGCTCCCAATCACAGGTTTCAGCTCCCCCTTCACTGGTCACAATGTAGATGCACGAAAACTTTTCACAAGTGTCGGCGCCAACGAAATTTCGGCAGAGTTTCCCTTAGCGGAAGTCACTCCCAACCTCCAGAGCTCCACTTAGGCATGCCCACAGGCCATGGTGGGTCAAAGAGGTTCTTCACACTTCAGTAGACTCCCCACAAAGTCCTTAATCAGCTCAGATACCACTTATTATAGACTAAGGACTGAGTCTATGAAGAATAGGGGCCGAAATATCTCAAAATCGAGATTTCTGGACAGAAATGTCGACTTCACAAGAAACGTCGTCGACAAAAACTTCACAGTGAAAACTTCACCAATTTCAGTTATGTTGTAGCTCTAGACCATGGCTACAACTCCCAATTTGAATCGCACCGAAAGGTGAAGTGAAGCTTGAGTTATAAATTTTGGCGCACTAGGGGGTATGCTGCCACAGAAACTTCAACTCACTCACAATAGTTTTACAAGTTCTCACACAAGAATGAGTAGCACTAAACCAGGTGGAAGGGAAGAGGAGGATGAGAGGGGAGTTCCAAAGAGAGTCCCCAACCAAGGAAACCCCATGCCACACAATTTCCCTCTTAATAGGCAACCCAAATTTCACCCTTGTCACTTTCCCAACCTCCACAATCCACCTCAACCCAACTTGGCCACACTTGCCAACCTGGTTTGGCTTCACCCAACCACTTGGCAGCATCTACAGTGATGGGTACAAATTTCCCAACCCCCAAATTTCTATACCCCATAATGAGTCATTCCCACAACTTCCCATAGTCGCCACAACCGAAGTACAGAAAGCATACGAACTCCAACGTTCGTAACTTTCTTGTTCTTGCTCCGATCGCGACGATTCTTGGTTCGTCGGAAAGCTCTCGAGCAGAGGAGTCATTTCAGATAAAGCCAGATCACAATCAGACACACTCAGAAAATCCAAACCGCACAGAACACAAATTCTTGCACACGCTCACACCACACATGCAACGCACGAACATATGATGGGAGGCAGACAGACGTGAATGCGAATGATAGCATCACATAACAACGTGAACAAGACTCTCCAGGGCAAGATCCTAGCCCGGAATGCGTGCTATACGGTGAAGTGGCGCGTGGGCGAATCGATGCATAAGTATGCGACTCGTGTGGATGAACTCGGGGAAACATTCATAGACCTCGGTGGAACGGTCACGGAGGAGGATTGGATTCTCACCTTGCTTTGCGGCCTTCCGGAAGAGTGGTCGACGGTGATTACGACACTCAATAGCGTGCAAGGCACTTGGATGAAGGAAATGGTGGTCGGCCGGCTTCTCCATGAGGAATCACGTCACCGACAATTCGCTAATGAGAGCGTGGAGACCGCCATGTACTCCGGAGGGAGTTCCGGAAAGATGTCCAAGTGGAGCAAGGGTGCGACAAATGAATCGTCCGGTGGGAGCGAGCATCGCGGCAAGTGTCACTATTGCCGCAAACCGGGACATTTTTGGCGTGAGTGTCGGAAGCGCCCGAGCGATTGGACTCCATCGAAGGCGCGGAACCAAGAGGGCAACGCGCACACGGCATCCGGCGAGGCGGATGATACAAGGGAGTCGATCGTGTTATTGGCCGGTGATGGGACCAACACTCCAAGCGACGCGTGGTTCCTCGATACAGGCGCAACGCAACACATGATGCACTCGGCATCGTTCCTCACCAACGTTGGTGCACCGCGGGATGTTAAGCGCGTCGTCTTCGGGAACAACAAGTCGCTACCCGTAGTTGGAGTTGGGAGTACGCGTCTCATCGTTGATGGCGGACCGGTTGACATCACGAACGTGCTTCACGTTCCGGGATTGAAGGTGAATCTACTCTCCGTCACTCAACTCGCAAAGAAGGACGTGAAGTTCACCATCGATGGCGCGACGATGAACCTCTTTTGGAAGGGGAAGCAATTCGCACAAGGCGTTCTCAACGGAGAACTCTACCAACTCAAGACGCACCTGGGAGCGGCTTCATCCAACGTGGCGCAAGGTTCCAAGGCGACTCTCAAGGCGTGGCATAAACGACTTGCTCACGCCAATTACGACTCGGTCAAGGAGTTGGCCAACAAAGGACTTGCGAAGGGAGTCGACGTGATCGCCGGCGACGACGAGAAGGGCGTGTGCGTGGCGTGTGTCGAAGGAAAAATGGCTCGCAAGCCATTTGGTAGCCGCACCTCTCCCCTCGCTAAGGACCCGCTTGCGCTTGTTCACATGGACGTGTGTGGACCGATGCGGCATGCATCAAAGGGAGGAGCGCGGTTCCTCTTGGTGATGCTCGACGACGCGACGCGGATGTGTTGGACCTGACTCTTGAAGGCTACGGGAGATGCGGCCAAGGCGATTCAAGAGTGGGCGCTCGAAGTTTGCGTCGACGACAAGAAGCGGATCAAGGTTAATCGCACGGACGGTGGCAGCGAATTCGTGAACGCGGAGCTTGAGAAATGGATGAAAATTAAGGGCATTAAGCACGCCGTCACGACACCCTACACACCCCAACAAAATGGAGCGGCAGAGCGGCTTAATCGCACATTGGTGGAAGCCGTTCGTTCTCTTCTTCAACACTCCAAGCTTGGGAGCGAGTGGTGGGGTGAGGCGAGTTCGTTAGCGACGTGGATTTATAACCGTTTGCCGGCAAAGGTGCTCCCGGGAACGACTCCGTTCGAAGCATGGACTGGAACGAAGCCAAACCTATCCCGCCTATGCACCTTCGGGTGCCTTTGCTACTACCATGTGCAGGACCCACTTTGCCACAAGTTGCAACCGAAGGCTCGTGCAGCGATCTACTTGGAAATTGCGGCGAAGGAGTGTGCGTGACGAGTGCGGGACTTGGCGGAAAAGCGTGTCGTCACATCTCGGGACGTGGTGTTCGACGAAGTCAAGTTTCCGATGAAGGAACTACCAACACCACAACCCACCGTCGTCCTTCTCGCACGAGAGGAAGATGAAGCGATCGATGTTCCACCCCAAGTGGAAAAGGAAGTCGACAATGGAGGGAGCGAGACCGAGGAGTGCGATGATGATGTCGTGGAGGTGCCACAAACCGAGGATTCATCTTCCTCCGCACCTTCTTCCCTACCATTGGCGTTGACCCGTGGGCGTCGAACACCTCGCCCCAACACGAAGTTAGCCGACTACGCTACGGTAGCCGTTGGGGAATGGGATGAGGAGCGTGCGGCATATTGCTTCGCAACCATGGGATTTGACCCCCGCACCCACAACGAGGCTTTGGCTTGTCCGGATGCACCGCTATGGAAGCAAGCAATGGAGAAGGAGCTAGCCTCGATCAAAGAGAACGACGTGTTCGAGCTCGTCGACCCGCCGAAGGGTGCCTACTTGGTGGGATGCAAGTGGGCGCTAAAGAAGAAGTTGGGAGCCGATGGGAGTGTCGAACGCTACAAGGCGCGGCTTGTAGCTCAAGGGTACACTCAACGGGAGGGGGAGCACTATAGTGAGACTTTTGCTCCCGTCGCCAAGGCTACAACTCTTCGAGTGTTGTTTGCGCTAGCGGCATCGCTTAACCTCGAGGTGGAGCAATTGGACGTTTGCACCGCCTTCCTCTACGGGCTTCTTATGGAAGAAGTCTACATGCAACAACCCCCGGGGTACGATGGCGGTAGCGGAAGGGTATGGAAGCTTAAGCGTACCCTCTACGGCTTGAAGCAAAGTCTATGCGGATGGTACAAGCGCATCGACGACTTTCTTCTTCAACACGGCTTCGCGCGTAGCGAGTGCGATAGCGCTTTGTACGTGTTGAAGGAGGGGGAGAAGCAATTGGTGCTTTTGCTCTACATCGATGACTTACTCCTCTTTTCCGACTCCAAAGACCTCATTCGGGAGGTCAAGCAACGGCTCGGGGCGGAGTTTGCTATGAGTGACTTGGGGCCGCTCAGGTACTATCTCGGGATGCATGTCGACCGTGACCGAGCCAACGGGACCATCCACCTCCACCAAGAGAAGTATGTGAAGGGGGTAGTGGAGAGCTTCGGCATGGGCAATAGCAAACCGGTGGGAACACCACTAGCTACGGGGTTCTCTTGCCTCACGGGAGAGGAAGAATCCACCCTCGAAGGGAAGCGGTTTCATTCGCTAGTGGGCTCGCTCATGTATGCCGCCGTTTCTACTCGTCCCGACCTCGCATACGCTGCTGGGGTGCTTGGACGAGTCGTGAGCAACCCTCATACCGAGCATGTGCGCGCGGGAGGACGCGTTCTACGCTACCTCCAAGGCACACCTAACTTGGGGCTCGTGTATGAAGCCGGCCCTATCGAACTCAAAGGGTATGCCGACTCGGACTATGCGGGAGATCCGAGCACGCGCAAGAGTACCTCCGGGTACGTCTTCACCTTGCTTGGGGCAGCCGTGAGTTGGCAAAGCAAGAAGCAACCAACCGTGGCTCTAAGCTCAACGGAAGCGGAGTATATGGCACTCACTCAAGGTGCCATGGAGGCGATATGGCTACGGCATGTTCTAGCGGAGCTTGGGCATCCTCAAACGAACCCAACTCCTCTCTTTTGTGACAACCAAGCCGCCATAAGCCTCTCTCACAACGCCGTCCTTCACGGGCGAACCAAGCATATCGAAGTGAAGCATCACTTCATTCGTGAGGCGGTTGAGAAGGGTGAGGTCAAACTCACTTATGTAAGCACCAAAGCTCAACCCGCGGACTTCCTCACCAAACCACTCCCTAAGGATTCATTCCGTGCATGCTGTGAGCGTGTTGGATTGAACTTCTAGTGGCTTGGGTGCAAGGGGGAGTGTTGGAGGTTGAGTGTGGGGGGAGGTTTGCCCCCAACCACCGAATGAAGCTCACGGTTGAGTGAGCTGCAGGTTTGCGTGGAGCTGAAGTTTGACCTCGGAAGACCAATCGATTCGGTGCCCCATGGCAGCACCAGAAAGTTCGGGACTTGAAGGAACATTCGAATGAGTGAAATTCGAGTGTCGAATTTCACCCCTTCGAAATGTTACGAGAACATTCGCGAAGTGTAGCAATGCGATGTTACGAACGCGGTTCGATGTTGATTGCATGCTATAAAACTAGTTGCTTTGTATTGCATGTTTTATACTGAAAACTTGAATCATCTTCTACGTGGTGAATTCTAAGTACAAATCCAGAGAGCTCCTATCTTTGAGTCTAGGAGCACAAGCAAGCACATAAACGCCAATATCTCTCTCGTTGCTTGGGCGATTAGCGTGTTTGACGGCTCGTTGGAAAGCCAATAGTGTGCTCTATCGTTTAGTACAACTCCAAGTTCCTGAAAAGTAGATGAGAGTCCTCTACATCAGTTTCAGTACAGGACTTCCTTATTTAGGAGGTGGGAGAGTGTAACAATTTACAAATCCTTACTGAGGCACTCGTTAGCGAGGCCACCCCGAGGGCCACGCGACCCAACCGGTTCGGCCTACAATTTCGCATCCAAACCTCACCGAGCCGCCTCCACACCAACCAATCGCGACACTTCGCGAGCCAACCTTCCCCATCTCCCCGCCTAGCTAGGTTTTCCCCTATTTAGGCCTCGCTACTTTCATTGTATGGGCATTCTGTAATCCCCATTCTCGTTATTCGATATTCTGCGCACTCTGACAAGTTCATTCATAACACATTGCCAAGTCGGGAGTCGTGTTTGTGCATTTACACTAGAGAGTTTTGCTCAATCCCGCGTAATCGTGGTTCGTTTTATTATCGCCACGTGGCATGCCTTCGATCACGAGAACCGCAATCGGTTTTATTGTTACCACAAAGTTCAAGAGAAATTTAGAAAAGTTTTGTACTGCGCTGCCCGCGGGCAAAAACAAAAGCCATTTGGGCCTGGCATGCGTTAGGGAGGCATCAATTCTTAACACCTTGCCTCTAGGTTTTTAGGGTTGATGCAACCCTAACGCATCCCATGCCCGAATGGGTTTTATTTTGGCCCGCGGGCAGGGCAGTGCATGTGATCAACTAGGCTTAACTAGATTTCTCTTAAATTTTGTGGGAAAAAAAAAAACAAATCGCGGTTTTCGCGATCATAAGCATGCCACGTGGCGAAAATAAAACGAACCGCGAAATCGCAGGTTTGAGCAAAACTATCACACGATGTGTGTGAACCATTCTAGGCGCGCTACAGTCACACAATGCGTTCGGTGCATGTGGCGAATGTCGGTGTGGCGAGAATGAGGGTGTAACCACCACTGGTGTTCTCTAGGCACGAGCGGAGGCAGGGCGAGGAGAAATGGGTAGCTTCATCCCTCTCCGCTTTTTGGTACGACACCACGGTCAGCCTGTAAAACCATGCCGAGTGTAAGGAAAATTCATTTTCTTTACACCTCATCCCTGCTTAGTGTGTACATTACTATTCCCGCCACACTGTGCACCGTTACCACTCGCGACACTCGCCTCAGCCATTTTCCCGCCACCTCGCCTGTCGCAACCCAACCTCACGACTCGGCTGGTAACCTGCGCTACGGGCCTCTGATTCGACAATTACCGACCTCACTACCAACCTCAGTCACAAGCCCGTCGCGCACCTCCCACAGTTCGTACCGTTACCATTGTGGGACTTCGCTATAACTCTCGCTAATTTCTTCGCCATGTTTTCCCTTTTTTCTTCGATAGTGCAATTCTCGCTTGCTCGCTCCATTGCACTCGTAACACTTGGTATTCAGAGCCTACGATCTCTTCTAGGACTGTACCCACACCTTCGCTTCCCCACTATCTCATTTTTTGGAGGGGGCAGCGTCTCTCAGCGAACAAGCACCGCCGCTCGAAGTGCTCTCTCGTAAGCACGTGCGGCCACGACCGAGGCTTCCGCTGAGCTCGCCCAACACCTCCGCCATGGCCGAATTCAACGTTGCCCCACTGACTCAGGAACAACTCGACCGCCTTGTGAGCCAGCTTGAAATCGTGACGCTCGAAATCGCGACGCTCACGGCGGAACTCTCTGCCCGACGGCAATCTTCGACGAATGCACCCGCACCAACGCAGATGCCTGAAAAAGCACCTGCACAAACGGACGAACGTATTGTCATCTTGTCCGGCACACAGTCACAGCACGACAGCGTGGGACAGCGCTCTTGCGGAGCTAGTGATGGCGCCGCCCAGTCTATGCCTGGCATGGCGAGAACCAGGGCCGTTCTGACTGTGAACACGCCTCACGAGGCTCGTCGTCACGTCGGATTTGCGGCGTCCGTGGGCAACGAAGAAATTCACGAGCCAATGCCGCTTAAACAGCAACGCCCGCCCTGCTTCAATCCTGGCCAACGCGGAGGTCCGACGGTTCAATCGTGGGTCTTCACGATGAACGTCCTCTTCGACGCGAACTACGTCATCT